ATTGAAATAATTTTTATACTGAAATTACTGGGTAGCCTACAAAGAACTCTCACTTAATCACGATCTCTCTAGGAAAAGCAGTTCTCCTAACTTCTTTAACTGTGTTTGTTGAGCAATGGGAGCTAAAATTCTGCAGAAAGAGCAAACATTGGGAAGGTCAGCGCTTTGTTTTTTAAAATAAACACTACGAAGCCGAAGGGTTCTGATTGATCTCCAGGCTGGTCTTGAAAAGCGGAAGAGGTCAGAGTAGGTTAGCACCAGGATGGGAGACCACCAGGAAATCCCAGGGCTGTAGGACAAACTGGGAAGTCAATCCCAGAAGAATGCAATAAGAAATCATCTCCATACAGATGACGGTGCAGTTGAAAAGCAGGCTGCCAACAATGGAAAGCTCTTATTGCAGATCTATAGCAGAGCCATCACTGGAATCCTATGCTCGGTTTTAGTCATCCCGTTTGAAAAGGATATGAAGAACTGGGGGTGGGGGGGAGTGCAGACAAGGACAACCAAAACTATCCAGACCTTGAGAAAAAGCTGGAACATCCGAGACGGACAGGAACAAAACGCAGAAAGGTTAAAAAATAAGAATGCCCTGGGTGGAGAGAAGAGGGCTGGGAGCTGTTTTCTTCCCCTCTCTCCATCACTAGCAGCAGGGGCCGTTCAGTGAAGCCGTTGAGAAAAAAAGAGCAGAGACAAAAGAAGCCTCCTTCACAGTGCGGCCAATTAATCTGCGGAATTCATTACCGCAAGATAGGATGAGGATGTGATATGAAGATGACCAGGGACAAGGGACCGGATGAAGTCAGGGAGAACCCCCAGGCAGAGGGACATTCGTCTCAAAGGCTCAGTGGTGCCTCTGGGTGGGAACAACCAGTTGCAGGGACCCACAGGAGGAGAGGAGAGGACTGGGTGCCTACCTCTCCTGGGAACCCCAGAAGCGTTTGACTGGATGCTGTGAGACACAAACATGGACCCAGAGGAGCGTTGGTCTTCAGGAGTCAAACTGGAAGTCAAGAAACTTTGCTCATTTTGAGCTAACTGTGCAAAGTTGCTACATGTAATCTGGGGTGTGCCTCACCCCACCAAAAGCATTTGGGATGATAGTCTGATTCTCAGTCATCCAGGTCACGGTTGTCCCAGAGGTGCTTTTTCAGGAGGCAACTGGACTTTCTTGGGTTTTTTTAAGAAGTTTCGCTTCTCCTCCAAGAAGCTTCTTCAGCTCTGACAGGATAGTGGGGAATGGAATGACTATCCTGTCAGAGCCGAAGAAGCTTCTTGGAGGAGAAGCGAAACGTCTTCAAAAGAAAAAACAAGAAAGTCCAGTTGCCCCCTGAAAAAGCACTTCTGGGACGTTTGGGATGATCCACTGCATTTTTACGTGGGAGAAATGTAAATTTAGAGCCATTCGATAGTGAGATGGGCAGCATATAAATTTAATAAGTAAGTTCGATCCTGACTGGCTGAAAGTTGACTCAGCCTTCCAATCTTCTGAGAGGTTGGTAAAATGAGGACCCAGATTATTGGGGGCAATAGGCTGACTTTGTAAACCGCCTAGAGAGGGGCTGTAAAGCACTGTGAAGCGGCATATAAGTCTAAGTACTGTTAATAAATAAGTAAATAAGTAAACAGTAAGAATATTAATGGGCGCAATGAGCTGTGTGCAGCAGCAGCTTTTCCGCTTGAGAAGTACTGGACTGCACCTGTATCCTGCCACCTGAGTGGTACTGGACTGCACCAGCACCTGGTGTGGTGCTGGCCTTTGCACTCCAATTTACATGTTGAACATCGTTTGGGGAGAGCCGAGGGAAAGCAAAGGCTTATTATCAATTGCTATTTACATTTCAGGAACCCCAAACATCCACATTATCAGCTTCCATTCCACAACATGTTTTCTAAACAATTGTAGAGATTGTACAATTACCTTGAAACTACGGCATGCTCTCCGAGCAATTACTGCACAGGGCTGTCATATGATTAATCATCATTTAAAGCAGGCTTGCAGAACTAATGGGCTCAATTCTATTTCTGGATGCAAACTATATGGATGCAAAAAAAAAAAAAAAACCCCAAACAAGAACTACTGCCTTCTGGACCACAAGACCCACGAACCATTCCACTCTGTTTGACAGATCACAACAAAAACGAGTAAAAAGGGCCGTCAGCATTTATTTTAACAAAAGGCTTGCGATGTGCGGGCCACTGTCATTTCCACCCCCACCCACCCCTTAGAAAATACTCCATTCCTTGTCCACATGAAGCCGGGAAGAGTTGATGGTAGCCTGGGCTCCTTCCCGGCAACACAATAGCGTCCCTTCAAGCTCCCGACACAAACGCAGGTGACCGAGCATAAGCCTCCAATGCAGTGCCTGCTGAACCGTCCCCGTTTGGTTCACACCACCCAGCTTCTGACAAAGAACCTGTGTCACTGAGAGCCACCCGGCTGGGGAAGAGGGCGGAGTGACGGAGGGAGGCGCATCAGAAAAGCTGTGGCAGGAAAGACATTGGCAGCCCTGGGCTCGGCTGTCCCTATTTTTAGGGGGGGGGGGGGAGAAGCCAAGGTTGGCAAACATCGTGGTCCTCTCCTTCGGCTCTTGGACCATAAACCAGAATAAACCACAGGCGCATGTCAGGATAAGGTGGGCCAGCCATTCAACAGAAAAGCCGGACTAAGAGGATGCCCCTGGGTTGGGGGAAAGGTTTCCCCAGGAGAAAAAGAGAGGAGGAGAGCTGCCCAACCTCTGGCCTCTGCTGCTTCCTTACTGCTGAATCACCTTTGCGACAGGCAGCCTGTCGAGCAATGTGGATGTAGCCAGACCTGCCCCAGTGTTGACATGCTCCTTCCTGTTCTTGGATGGGCACCTGACTTTCTACCTGCATCTTGATCCTGCTGGCATCATTGAAACACGCCAGGAAAGAAAGCAGAGCTGCTCTCTTGGACCCCAGCCCAGTCTCTCTTCACCCCCCCCCCCCATTTTCCATCTCCCAGTACACAGCTTCTCATCCTTCATCCTCTGGCCTTTCAGAGGTTGTCCTTCAACCACGCTTGGTCCTCCTCCTCCTCCTCCCACCTGTTCCTCCTCACTTGGGACGCCAGGCATCTCTCCCTCTCCAAGGGCAGCTTCTCCCATCCCTTCCCTTGGCCAGGATCACCTCTAAACTGTCTCCTCTTGACCACCACCCCCTCCAGTTGTTCCTCTTCCTTCACTGCCTTCCTTGGCCATTATCCCACATCTTCCCATCCTCCCCCACCTCCGCCATGGGCCCATCCTTCCCCATTCCATCACCTTTATTGTAGTCGCCTACAATGGAAAGGCTCCTTCCAGAACAGGATTTGATGATTCACCGGTTTCCAGTGGGTCGGTTCCCCATGTGGACAGGCTCCCTTCATTCAATCAATCCCTGACCCAGGTGCGTCTCATTCCCCCAAACCCAGAAACAGATGTTGGGAAAACCACGAAGTGAGGGGGGGGATCCTACCTTCTCTCATTTCTCCTTCCTTCCTCCCTCCCTCTCTCTCCCCATCCTCTCTAATCCTTCCTTCCATCTCTCACCTACCTTCCTTCTCCAATCCTTCCTTCCCTCGCTTTCCTTTCCTTCTCTTTCCTTCCTTCCTTCTCTCTCACCTTCCCTTCCTTCCTTCCATCTCAAATTCTTCCTTTTTTTTCCTTCCTTCTTCCACCCTCCACCTTCCATCTTTCCTTTCATCTCTCCCTCTCACCTGCCTTCCTTCCTTCTTTCTTTCTCTAATCCTTCCTTCCCTCGCTTTCCATCTCTTTCCTTCCTTCCTTCTCTCACCTACCTTCCTTCCATCTCAAATTCTTCCTTTTTTCCTTCCTTCCTTCCACCTCTCACCTTCCACCTTTCCTTCCATCTCTCACCTGCCTACCTTCCTTCTTTCTTTCTCTAATCCTTCCTTCCCTCGCTTTCCATCTCTTTCCTTCCTTCCTTCCTTCCTTCCACCTCTCACCTTCCATCTTTCCTTCCTTCTCTAATCCTTCCTTCCTTCCTTCCTTCCACCTCTCATCTTCCTTTCCTTCTCTGCCTCAGTGGGATCCCCAGGGTCCATCTTTGGCTCCCTTTCCCTTGGTGGTGCTGCTGCTGGTGGTGGTGGTCCCAAACCAAGGCCCAGCCCCCCCTCCCCTCCCCTCCCCTGAGCCTGTCCCCTTATTAACCCCCCACCCCTCCCCCACCTGGCTTCTCCCCCCCCCATTCGGCCTAAGGACGGGGGGGGGAGGCCGGGGAAGAGGCCAAGGGGACGCCGCCTCCCTCGGGGCCAGCCCAGGGCCTTCCTTGAGGGGGGGGCGCAGAGACTCCCCTCAGGTGAAGGCCTGGCGACCCCCCCTCAGCCGCCATTGTCCGAGCCCCCCTCCTCCCCCCCTCCCTCACCTCCAGCTCGGTGTCTCCGGGCTCGGCCACGCCGATGATCTCGCTGGGCAGCTCGGCCAGGTCGGTGACCCGGATCAGCCCGTCGTGGAGGAAGATGGTCTCCTCCTTCACCGACAGCCACTGCGCCGAGTCGGCGGCGGCGGCGGCAGCGGCGGCCGCCGCGGAGCCCGAGGCGCCCGCCGGGGAGCCCATCCAGGAGGCCGGGCGGGGACGGCGGCGGCGGCTGAGGGGAAGCGGGGATGCTCCGGCAGGCAGGCGGGCAGGCAGGCAGGCAGGCAGGCCGGGCGGGCGGCGGGCGGGGGAGGAGGAGGAGGAGGAGGAGGAGCGGCGGAGGCGGCGCCCTCAACCCCCCGCCATGATGGGCGGAGGAGGAGGCGGGGCCTCCTCACGCGCCCGGCTGACGGCGCCACGCCATCTTGGAGGCGCGCGAGCGAGGACCTCAGGCGGGAGGGAGGAGGAGGAGGAGGGCCCGGCATGCCCCGCGCCGCCAAGGAGGGAGCGCGCGCGCCCGTTACCCCGCCCACTGGGCGTGACGGAGCTGGCCCCCGACGCCGCTCATTGGCTGGCCCACCATGGACCCGCCCGGTCCGGATCGCCTCAGACCGCAGTTGTCGCCGGCTCTGAAGGCGGGGCAGGTCGCTTTAAGACAGGCGGCCTTCAACTCCCACAATTGACTGGCAAAGGGTGAAACACCAGGCCCAAAACCTGGAGGTTGTGAGTTCTAGTCCCGCCTGAGGCACGAAAGGCAGGTGGGTGACTTTGGGCGAGTCCCCCCCTCCCTCCCTGAGAAGCCTACCTCACAGGGTGGTTGTGGGGCAGGACTATCGCGCCTATTCCTCACCTTGAATTATTTATAGAAATCATAAAAGGTAGGATAAAATAAATATAAAAATAAAATTGGGTTTTTTTTGTGTGTATAGCAATTTTTTAAAACTGATTCCCCCCCCCCCCAATTAAGTTAACTTTGAAAAAATGCTGCTCATAACTATATAGTGGAAGGAAATATTGATGATCCCCTGGTCTGTTTTTTAAAATGTTCAGGATTGTAGCTTGGAATATGAAATCGAAAATTTGTTTTGTTTTTGTTCGCATGCAGTTAACAGGCTTAATCAAGGTGATCTGCGCTGTGTGCTGCATATAATATAATATCCAGCTGATATTTTATCAGAGACCTTCATTTCCAGCCAGATAAAGTGGAAAACAAACCTTGCTTAAAAGTGGAGAAGGGCGTGGCCTCTTCATTTTCACGGCCATGCTGTGTCTTCAGAGAATGGACGTTTAATCAAGGTCAGAGGCATGCAAGACTACAGCAACAGGGTCAGATCTTTGGTTCAACCCAGCACTGTCATCTCTTTCAACTCTGACACATGCATGTCAAAGCAGATACTGTCCAAGCTGATCAGTCCCCCACCCCACCCCAATGATGAACCATAGCAATAGCTACCCCAGCAGATTCAGGAACCATCGTTTGAGATAAAGCCATGATCTGACAGCTGAAATGAAGGTGTTGCTGTCCACTTCTGGAAGATACTACCAATAGGATGACCGCTAAGCAAAGGAGAACCAAAACCAGACACAAAGAATCCTGCCCTTTGAAAAAAATTTTTTTATAAATTATGCAAGGGCAGGTCCTCTCTTGAATCGGTTACCAGTAAAGATCTGGAAGACAAGCCACTGAAATTGTTTTAAATAACCACAGAGGTGTTCTAAAGGGAGCTCAACCAAACTCACTGTACATATGTTGTGCACTGACAATAAAGATTTGAATTTAAATGGATTTTGTGGTACTTTAGGGTATTATCTAGGAAATAATTTTGGATGTTTAGTAAAACTATGCATTATTTGTCTTACCAACTAATTTTGGCAGTTCTGGTGGGATAGTGCGCAAAGTTTTGGCCAAAGAAGTGAGTAAACTTGGTAAGCTTTATCTTGCAATTTTTTCTCACAAAGCATAATTTTGGGAACATTGGGGGCTATCAAAATGCCGTGTTCAAAATAGCATAATGAGTATGCAGGCTTCCCACTAAATCAACACTTATCTTATAATCAAAGCCTTAAACAATAATTTAAACAATCAACGGCCTGCTGGAATATGCAAATTTTCCTGAGAGCATTGGGCTGGTTGAACAATACAAGAGAACATCTGGTCAGCTGTACAGTGTATTTTTATTTTAGCGATTAAAATAAAACTCAGCTGCATGAGTCTAACATACCACCCAATTAATTTTTTATAAAGTTTAACACTACTTAATTAGCATAGGAAAAATAGCCATTTACATGCTTAGAACTGTTTTGTTTGTAATGTTCATTATTATCAGAGGTGGGGGGGGAAGCAAATAATGCTGGCTGGGGAATTCTGGGACTTGAAATCCACATGTATTAAAATTGCCAAGGTTGGACATCCCTGCTTTACACTGTACCATATATTGCCCCCAGAAAACAGGAAAGGGTACTTCTGAATATACACAGGAGATCCTCCTCTAAGGTGGTCTAATTGATTTAGAATGGTACTCAAGAATTTATTTTCCAATTTAAAATTTTGCCAATCACTTTCTGCTTGTTTCCCTTCTGATTTTTAGCTCAGCTTCACACACTTTTTAATCCCTGAACTGTATCATTAGTGGAAAGCTATGTAGATTGACCTAAATTAACATACATTTACATAGGATGAAATATTATTGTATAATGGGATCAATGATGCTTTCAGGAATGTGCATTTGGGACTGATCTCGGAGTTGATAAATTGGGCAGGGCTGAAGTCTCATCACCCATACTCCTTTAACTATGACTCTCCTTTTGATTACACTGAAATGACAGGATATTACCTCCCTCTAAAGATCATCTCAACATAAAGGGTGATACAACACATCAACATTTAGTAACACCGGTCTAGGGAGGAAGTAGTTAAAAACCCTGTGATCTTGATTAGTCCTACCTAGGAAACACAGAAGAAAACAATATATTGGAGGACTACAATGTGCATTTTAGCAGTGAGAAGTGAGCATAATATTGATCTAATGTTCCTGCAATACCTGTAACTCATTTAAAAACAAATTTAGTGTTATTTATCCCTAAATAATCATGGCTTGAAAAACCCGAAATATCTGCCTCTTATTTGGCTTCTGAAAAGTTTTTCCCTCCTGTGGCAACACCTGAGGGCCCCCCAGGATCATATAATTCCATCCTGCGTGATTAATACAAGACCACCAATTATGAGAAGATTTTAAAAGACATCTTTTTGTCCCAAGCATCTCACAAGTTTACATGAATCATGCTTTGGGCTACATAATTCAGCAGTGTGACTCCTCATTCTGGTAATTGGCTCTGTTGCCATTCTACCTGTTTGCACCAAGACAGCTAATGACTCATCCTCCATTCCTAGGAAGAGACCAACCAAATCCGAAGAACTTCCTAAGTAAACAAACATGCATGCATGGTTTTCCCCAAAAAACCTAATATGAATTTTTTATTTGATGGGAACTAAATTATATGTAAATTCTCCCTTTAGTTTTGGGATTATGTTCATGTTTATTTTGTATCGGTTCACACTACACTAAGCCTTAAATTGTGATCTACTAACTAATCACTGGATTCAGCCAACACAGCACATGAATCCTGAATCAAGGATTGTCTTTTTTTCATCCTCTTTGACTTTAAATGCTTTACTAATGGCTCAGCACTACCTGATATATGGCAAAACCTGTCTGTGGGCATAAATGCTACCTTACTATGGCCTTTGCTTAGAGCCAAAATAATATACACAGTTCTTTGTATAGATTTCAAAGATAAATTCAATACAAAAATAAAAAAGCACTAAATGTTGTTTCCTCTGTCCTTGATTTCCTGTACAATAAATCAAGCTTCGTTGTTATGACAAATACTTCCCAAGTGTCTCTGATTTAGACCAGTTTTTTGGGGATACAAAAAAAAAAAAAAAAAAAATCCCCTCCGATAAACCATGTTTCTCTTTTATTGCAATCCAGCCAGTTGCCTCTTGAAAAAGCATCTTTGGGACAACCTTGACCTGGATGGCTGACAATCTCCATAGACAAGTAGAGTGTAACGTCCCTGAGTCAATTTTGTTGACACCAAGCGCATTCATCCTCGTCTAACCTCATGCCAGGGGAGCAATTAGCACTACCAACAGCCAACCACGCGGCTTGGTCCAATTCATCCTGTGTCCTTCCTCACCGTTGACCTGCCTCCAGGATTGACGGGTGATTTCCTGTCATTTCCAAATGGTTTTGCTGAGCACTCCTCCGCACAAAGCAGCCGAACAGGCTCTGCTATCTGGGGAGGCAGCTTGCCAGGTGCAGCCTTCAGAACAAAGGTGCTGTGGTCTTCTTTTAAGCAGAGGTCACTTGTACAGGTTTCTCCGTAAGGACTGAACGGCTAATTTGTTTCTTTGCTATAGCCATCGTTGCAGCAAATTCGTACAAATGCGAGCCCTAAATAAGCAGCTGCTTGAACCACGCTTCTCATTTTAACCCAGTCTATTCCGACCAGGAGCCTTGGCCTCCGTGTGACCCCAGCCTGCTTTAAAGCGGAAACTGCCTGCCTTCACCTGGTGCGCCTGACTTGACGGGAGCCCAAACTGGGCCAAGCTCCTTTCATCACACTTCCAAAAATGAATCACGAATGGCTTGCTTGGCAGGCTCTTCTGCAGAACCAGAGGGGGAGCTGCCCGGAGTTTGGTATAAGATGGGCGGTTATAGAAATGCTTTTAAAAAGCGCGCTCAAATGTTGCCATGGTCCTGAGGCTTTGTGAAACTGACAGCTAGCTGGAGGGGTAATCAGCCCCAAATTCCTTATCTGTGAGAACCATCACGATGGCTATACCAAAACGGCTGGTCCTGCCCCACACATCAGTCTTCTAAATGGTGGCCTGTTGACCAAGTAACCAGCTGGATTCACACAACCTTCTAAATCTCAATCCAATAAAAACACACAGTGCGATACATGAAATGGAGCTAGAGATCCAGCCAACTGGAGCCCAGAAAGTGAGATTCAGACCCGACCTCTGTTGAGGAAAGCTAGATTAGATGCTTCTTAATGCTTATGGCGTTATAGCTTTTCTCAAACCACAAAACCTTTAATTAACACAAACCATGTAATTTTTAATTAACGCAATTGTCCAAAACGAAGTGCCTTTGTAAGGCTGTGATTTAAGCATTGCACACGAGCTCCCTCTCCTGACCGAAAGAAAAAAAAAAAACCCACACCACCACTTATTTACTAATAAGCCAGTTGAACATGGACACATGAATACCGCAAGCGCTCCAAGGCTGGCGTCAGGTCTTCAGCACAGCTATAGCTTTGCCCCACTGGCACTGAAGGCCACGTAGGACAGCAGTTGGCAAAGCCTAGGGACGAGCTCTGAAGCCGTCGCCTGCAGTGTTTCCTCCCATTAACTAAACTGAGTAGGGTGCACATTTGGCTTCAAACCGATCCCGAGTACTGGAAGATGAGGAGAAGGAACCTCCTGTAAAGAGCGATGGCAAATTTTCAACCATCAAAGAGTCTGCTTGCACGCAGACAAACCAAAATACAATACTAGAAAATAAAACCAGCAGAGCTTTTAGTAGTTTTTTCCCCCAAAACTTTTACTTGGTATTTTCGGACTATTTAGAAGACCAATTTGTGAGGATAAACTCCATTGGAGAGTGAAAAGGTCGAACGCAGGTAGCCCCGGAGCTGAGGAACCTTCTTGATGACGGGCAGAAGCTGGGAGTCCACAGTCTTCTGGTCTGCCTTGCGCTGATCTGCAATCTCGTATTTCTGAAAAAACGGAAATGCTACTTCAGCCATTTATTCCTTTTCCCACGGCTGTCATAAGGGGGCCAGCGGTTCCTTCCCCATTGCCATTTTTAAACAGCAAACCTTGCCAACGTTATTTCACAAAGTGCATCCAAAATTGATTTATTTTGCTTTCCTAACACCCTCTTGGAAGAGGTTCTTTGGACTGTGACATGTTCTACAGAAACATGAAATATAGAGTGTTTCTATTTAATCTGCTTTCTTAAATGCAAAGATACTGAAAAATCTGTCTACAGATTCATAAACCAGGAGGGACTTCAGGTGCCAGCCTGCCCCCTTGTTGGCTTTTGAGTTATGCAGAATGCAATCTTGGAAGCACACTCAAGGCGAGAAGCTCTATACATACCGCTTTCTCAGTATCAAAAATTTCGCCCTCTTGATGTTTGGGCTTACGCAGCTTCTTCTTCTTGAAGTAAACGTCACTGAGATGCTTTGGAACTTTGACCCCCGAGATATCAACCTTAGTCGAAGTGGCAATGACAAACTTTTGGTGAGCTCTGCGCAGAGGGACACGGTTGATAGCCAAGGGCCCTGAAAACAGAAGGCAAAATAATGTACATGGAGACCTCTGATGGTCAGAAAACACTTATTTCTCCCCAACTTGTGAAGATTCTCCACCCTCAGGAGACAAATCTTTTACTATGGTTATTTGCTATCTTTTCTTCTTTTTATACCAAGACTCATTATGCGGAATGGTATGAAATTTAAAAGAACGTTAACAAGGATCACAGAAAAGGAACAGAGGCCATAAACGTGAAACGAGCTTACCTGTCACAAGCAACAGTCCACTTCCAAGCTGCTTCAAGAAAACCACCCGCTGGAAACACAAAGACAAGAGGGGAGTGAGTCAGTTGTTGGAATCCCTGCCTGCCTCCTGAATGCCCCTAACGAGAGGAGCCCCAAAGGCCCCTTACCTTGCCCCTGTGGCGGCCAGTGAGAAGGATCACCACCGTTCCTGGGGAAATCGAAGCCCGTAGCCGCCTCTTGTGGAGGGAAAAAGGTTTTTTGCCGTGGCTCAGGAGTTTTCGGGAAACGTCCTCCGTGGGGTAGTATCTGGGCTGCAAGGAAAAAAAGACAGGCCTAAATTCAGGACCTTGTTAAGAATCAAAGCAGCCTCTTGAACGCAGAGGAGGACAGGAGCTCTCTCTCGGCCACATCATTTTGGCCACAAGCTCTTACCATCTTGCGAAGTTTGACCACCCGGGTGCCTCCATTCTTATCACCCCCAACAGGTTTTGTAACAGTGGCTGCCTCCTTCTCTTTCTTCTTTTTTTCTATCTGGGGAAAAAAAAACCACCAAAATTGTACCCCATCATTCCTTCTCCAATTTGACTCCCCCATCACAGTCCTGGTGGATAGCCTGAGCAAGAGTGACTGGCCCAAAGTCCCCCCCCAGTGAGGTCCCTGGTGTGCTCCAACGCCACTCTCTTAACCATTAGGACCCCCGTCTCTCTTTCTGTTTGACTTCGGTGAGTCAAACTTGCAGGCAATAAAAAAAAATTGTCACTGGAGCAATCCTGTGATCTGCATCTACCCAGCTTAATGTCCTCCACGTTTAATGAGGAGAGTTATCTCGTTTACCTCCAGTATGATTAAGGCAGATCAAGAAAAGTTTGTCCGTATATTATGGCATTCTTTGGCAGATTAAAGCCAATCGCTTTTGAAACACTCATCTTCCATAGATTAATCCAGTTTCTCCACCAAAGCCGCTTGAAGATGGACTTTAACTCCCATGCTGGCTGGGGAATTCTGGGAGTTGCAGTCCACCCATCTTCAAGCTGCCAAATGGTTTATACCAATCCATACCCATCCATTGTGCCAATTATCCATCCTTAACACGAAGAGTTGCAAAGTCTCCCCTCTGCTCGTACCTTTGTCTCCGGCGCGTTGTACTTCCGCTTGTACATGGCCTTCCGTGCATACATGGCCGACCGGGAATATCTCCCGATCCCTCGGGCCAACACCGGATTGCGGCTGGCATGGACCTTCCGGACCCTCCTGGTTTTCTTCTCGCCTGCCATCTAACAACAAAAAAAGGGAAACATCCATTTGCAATTTGTAACCCAAGAAAAGCCAGAGGGCTCCAGATCCTGCGTCTCGGTACCCCCTTCTAGAGACACAATTCTCCACTTCCAAAACGTTGCAAACTGATTGCACAGCTATACCAAATAGGTATTTTTTTACATACAAGCTACACGTATACTTTTTTTTTTTTGCAAACATGCAGTCTGCAAGGAAAACTAAGGTTAACCCACTCACTTTAGTTAGGAAGTGTCAAGGAATTATTGGATAGCGAGTTACAATCCAATGAGCGGAATCTTACAAGTTATAGAAGTCCCTTAATGGAAGCAAGCCTGTATTCCGATTAACCACTTAAAAATCCCAACGTCTTTGGAAGCTATAGAGACTCCCAGGACAGTTGCAAGGTTCGGGGGGGGGGGGGTAATCTGCCATTCGGTGCGGGCAGGGGCTGAATCCGCTTCCCCGGCCAGGGAAGGCGGCTATTCCGAAGCCCGAGGGTCGTTCCGGGCCAAAAACCTTCCTCTCTGGGATGGGCATTCCCGGGCGCCCCTCCTCGCTTTCAGGGGCCTAGGCGAAGCGGCCCCGAGTGACAGGGCAGCCCGGGGAGAGCCAGCCGGCCTAATCTTTCGCTCGGCCCCAGCAGAAGCAGCCCGGCGCCTCCCGCGCAAAGCCCCCGGAGCCTCCCCGCCCGGCCTATGCCCGGCCCGGTGGTTCTCCGAGGCGGATGGCGGTGGATGCCGACGCCGAGCCCCGGGAAGCCAGCGCCACGGCCGCACCATCCTTACCTTGGGCAGAAGGAAAAAGAGGCAATATCCGGGGCTTCGGCGCTGAAGAGCAGGCGCGTGACGTCACCGGGCGTGCCCCCAAGCACTCTGGGAGAGGTAGTTCACTTCGTGCAATGCGCCCTCCCGAGAGCCGACTCAGAATTCGAGGCGGTTTTCCTCCGTCATTCGTGCCATTCCCGTTTTATTTCCTACAGGCCTTATTCAGTGGTCATCGATTCCAGTGCTGGCTGGAGAATTCTGGGAATCGAAGTCCACAAACCTTAAAAGTTTGAGAAACACTGATTGAAGGGCTGCCTATCATAACAGAAAACCTCCCTTGATAAAATAGTTATGATTCCTGCGGCGCAACAATAACAATGAATACATATTATACTTTATTTCTTTCCTGAACAAGGCCGCCCAGGACAGGGCAACGCAATGGGCTGGAGAAGACGAGGCCCATTGGGCACTGAAAGGGTGCTCCCTATAGAGACGCCGCAGCCTAGAGCGGAAAGCGCGTTCCCACTGTGTGGCCGTTCTAGCCGCCGCCTGCCTCTATGCTCAGAACGACTGGCGACCCCGCCCCTTCCTTGCCATCCCGAGAGGGGGGGGAGCCTGGTCGCGCGGCGATGACGTCTTAGGCATCGCGACGGATCGCTCCTCGGGGCTCTTTCTGCCTTCCCTTCTCCCGGGCCTGGATGCAGCCGGGCCCGGGCCGACTTCGGTTCGCCTCCTCCCGGGCCGGGCTCCCCGCGGGACCCAGGGGCCCCATGTGAGGAAGACGGAGGCGGGAAGATGACCTCGAGGAGGTGAGAAGCGGGGGGGAGGGAAAGAGAGGAAGGCTCAGGCCCCGCCCCTTCGGGGGGGAGGGGCGCCCAGCTTGCCTCCCTCCTTCCCTCCCCAGGGCCGTTGCCATGGGGACGAGGGGGGCGCGGGGCAGCCTGCGTGTCACACACACACACCCCCATCGTGGAGGGCCTGCTGCTGACTTTCTGGGTCCAGATGTGCGGGACTACAATACCCATCCTTCCCTCCCAGAGGAGCCTGGCCCGCGGGGGTCGCCCAGCATTTCCAGCCTGCTTTGGCTCCTTCTCAGGGCAGCCGCCCCTGGTGGCAGCCACCACAGCTCCCATCCTCCCCAGCCAGCAGGTCCCAACACGGTTTCTCCCTGGTGTGACAGCCTGTAGCTTCCCAAACCCTTCTGGCTGCGGAGGATGGGGGCTGTGATCCAAAAGGAGGAGCTTGTTCGGGGGGGGAGTCTGAGACCACCAGGAAGTGGAGGATGGAGGCCGCTGCCCCCAGTTGAAGCCAGAGGGGGGAGAGGACGGAGGCTCCAGAGAGGCTTCCCGGGGAGAAAACCTTCCAGCCTTGGTTGCTCAGGCTGAGCCCTTTCACCAGCACGGCCAAGCTGATCTCTTACTTTCACTGCCCCAATGTGTGGCCGGGTAGTGATTAAGGGGGGGGGGGTTGGAGCTGACCAAAGCCACTCACAGGGGCTCCAAAGGGGACCCAAGGTGAACGGAAGTGGATGGCCGAGATACGGTACAATGAGACTCCTTATCTGTTGCCTTTAAGCCTGGGATGGGTAACCTCTGACCCCGGCTCCCAAAACCTAATATTCTAAATTTTGAGCTAAAATTATCCCCTAAATTATTTTGCAGTAGGAAGCAGGAAAAGTGCATTGCAAATCTTAAAACAGCCACATCGCATTTGAGGGAGGAGGGGACTCTCAAAACTTCTCCATAAACTTGGTGTAAGGTAAATAAACAAATTTAAGAAACTGGAGGTAGCTTCTATAAAACAATAAATAAAATTTATAAGATTATAAAATAAACAATTTTGGCGGACACGATAAGCAAAACAGAAGCCTCTGATGCTGAGGGGATGGGGTGAAATGGTGCCGTTTTTTAATTGTACAAGGCAAGAACCAAGAAATGAGAAATAACTTTTCAGCAGTGTTCCAATTATGATAAAACCAGACTTCTCAACCAAATGTGATAAGAACATTCTACTCCATAACTGAGTACCAATTAGGAGAAAATGACTTTAACGTGTTCTTTTAAGAACAGCCCAATTATTTTTCTCTTCAAAACTTTATAGTGAACTCACCTCTCATTACTTCATTATGAGGCTCTCAGTAGAGTAATTGCAGGAGATTTTTCTTTATAAAATCCCATCCAGACTCTCAAAAATAGGATCCCTTTTTCTCTGGAAAAAGAGTTATTTCCTGCATTTTCTCTGCCTAATTATCCATTACCAGTTTTGCTAGTTTAGTGTTAGAGTTCATCTATTAGCATAGGGAGTGCTGATCATGTTTTCAGATGAACTAGTTCAGTGTGACTTAACATACGTTCTGATGTATGAATAGTTAATGCTGGATCCTTTTTTTTTTTTTTTTTTAATTAATAGCCTCCTTTATATTTTGCTAAATGTCCAAATACCGGCTCTTGGAAAAGCTAGCTCTACAATTCTTTTAACAGCCATTCTTGAAACAGTCTTAAACTTGCTCCAATCCCAGCACCGTCTTTCTCTCCTGGGGTTGAAAAAAAGAGTCCAGCCCACCCCCAACTGGGTAGACTTATCAGCCTAAAATGTGCGTGTTCCATTTTGTGGGCTCCTTTGATCCTGTCTCCGGAACCACTTGGCATAACTGGCCGGCCTACAGCTGACTTGAGACACCCCCGGAGCCTTCTATTTCCAACTGGTGACAAAATGCCGCTTCCCACTTGGTGACAAATATACCCAGAGTGCCAGGGAGCTTTGCCATCCGTGCTGGAAATAGAATCCTTGCCTCGGTCGGTCGGCTGTCCGTCCCCGGAAGTTGCTCTCTGCCAAAAGGTTGCAGGACGGTGCTTTTTATGGCCCCCACCTTCACCCTTCCGCAGTGGCTCTGCTCATCCTGCCGTCACAAAAAACCCTTCAAAATTCTGAGCTGGTCATCAGTGGGTAGCCTGAAGTATTCCAAGAGTGATCCCTAAAAGTTGTTAATTCAGTTGGTCCTTGATTTACAACCACAGTTGAGCCCGAAATTTCCATTATTAAGCAAGACAGTTAAGTTTGTTAAGCGATTTGCTGCCCTTGTTAAGTGAATCATGTGGTCGTTAAGTGGATCTGGCTTTCCCCCGTTGACTTTGCTTGTCGGAAGGTGGCTGGGAAGGTCGCAAGGGGTGATCACATGACCCTGGGACCCTGCAACGGTCATAGGTACGTGCCAGTTGCCAAGTGCCCAACTTCTGATCACGCGACCCTGCCCAACCCAGTCCTGTTCCTCTGTCCACTAACTGCATGTCTCTGTGGAAGAGTATAAATATGCCCATTACCCATCCGAGTTAACTCCCTGGGCCTTTGAGAAACGTCAGGCTTTCCCCCTCAAGTGGGAGAGTACAGATTTAGCCAAAATGTTGACTTAGTTAACCAGATTTCTAAAAATAAGCCAGACCCGGTTGATAGGAGAGGAGGCGAATGAAGGCTCAGCCCCTTGGGGGAGACCTTCAACCAGCAAGGTGCTGGCTTAGTTGACGAGAAGGGTGTGGCTGTGGGTGCAAGCATATATGGAGCCTGTTTGCACCGGAGTGAAGAGAGGGGCCAGGCTCAGCTAAGCCATATAGCCCCTTCCTTCTTCTCCTCCTCCTCCTCCTCCTCCTTTTCCTCCTGACCCTCCAGCAGAATCCAGAATCAGATCAACTCTCAGAACGGGAGCAGATTCCTGGTTACAAGGCAACAATGAGGTGGTAGCTGCCTTCTCAGTTTCTCTTGCTGGTTGTGTGGGAGCAACTGGTGGTCTTAATCAGCTTCCCATGGACGAGGAGATGTCTCTGCATTCGGATTGTTTCATCCCACTTTAATCCTGGTTTGCAAGAGGCCGGTTCTTACTCCCATCCGGTTTTCCCTGCTCCCTGAAAGGGGCAGAAATCATGGCAGGACAGCAGCAAGCCACCTGCTCTGGTACAAGAGATCTCAGGTCCAAATGAAACAGTCTGAATCCTCGGGGGCTTCTTCATTGCCCTTATCCACAAAGTAGACATGTAGCATCCTTGTAGCAATGTTTTATGGGGAAGGTGTACCCTCAGATTTTTGTGCCTGGTTTCCTTCTGTGGGTAACGCTTCCCACGTCTTTTTCTATCCGCATTCTTTTTTCCTTTTTTTAGTCTATTTTTTTCACTTTTTCTTTTATCTTTTTTTTACGTGTTTTCATGTTTTATCTTTTACTTCTGTAAAAGCTTTCAATCAAAATGATATTTTTTTTTTAAAAAAAGGAAACCCTTTTCTCTTAACTAAAAGTGACCTTTCAAAACCCTCCCCTCCTTTTCTCTTTTCCCAGATGGTTTCACCCCAACATTACCGGAGTGGAAGCGGAGAACCTGCTCCTGACCAGAGGAGTTGATGGCAGCTTCCTGGCTCGGCCCAGTAAAAGCAACCCGGGGGACTTCACCCTTTCAGTCCGGTAAGTCCACTGAGAGGACCTGGTAGCCGTCTTGGGGCTTTCTAAAATTTAATGTCATTTTACAGACAGGTTTTAAAAAACAGAAGTAAATGGTTTAAGTAGATAAGTCTCTTGGGGAGGCTGCCTTACAGCAAGTGCAAGCAGTAAGAGAATAACATCCATCTTTGCAAGATGCTCCCAGCTAAGACCTCCCTCCCTCCCTCTCCAAGAATGTTCAATAGGGAGGCGGGAGGTTTGGAGTCAGCCCTGCTCTCCCTCCCCAGGAGGCTACCAGTAGAAGGCCGTTTTCATTGCCATCAGCTCTCGTTTCTCTTCTCTCTTCCTCTTGACCGTCTGGACCGGCCAGGCGCAATGGGGCGGTCACTCACATCAAGATCCAGAACACGGGCGACTACTATGACCTCTACGGGGGGGAGAAGTTTGCCACGTTGGCGGAGCTGGTCCAGTACTACATGGAGCACCACGGACAGCTCAAGGAGAAGAACGGGGACGTGATTGAGTTGAAGTACCCGCTCAACTGTGCGGATCCCACTTCTGAAAGGTGAGCAGGGCGGCAGCATCAGGGAGCCCGGCTTGGGTGAGGTCCATCCTGGGCGGAAGGTCCTGGAGGCAGTCCGGAAGCCATGCAGTTCCCTCTGCTGAGATTCAGGTCTTACGGGCTGTGGGGACAGGTATTTCTCAACTTAAAACCATTCGTTTAGTGACTGAAGCTAAATAGCCCTGAAATAAGTGACTTGCGATCATTTTTCATACTTATGTCCATTGCAGCATACCCCTGGTTAAAATTCAGACACTTGGCAACTGACTCGTGTTTATGACGGGTTGCAGGGTCGCGGGGTCATGTGATCCGCATCTGACGAGCAAAGTCAATGGGGAAGCCAGATTCACTTAATAACCATGTTACTAACTTAATTGCAGTGATTCACTTAATAACTGCGGCAAGAAAGGTTATAAAATGGGGCAAAATTCACTTAACAACTGAAATTTGGTGCTCAGTTGTAGTCATAAGTCAAGGACGACCTGTATCACCGAACTCTCTGGACTCGACGCCAGTTCCCACCCTTGGGAAGGAGGTGGGGAGGTGGGGACAGAGCAGCATCTCCTACCTTAATTGCCTTAATAGGAGCTCCTTTTCAAAATCGGTACATTTCCCTCTTAATCTGCTCTCAGCGGCTTCTGCTGCCTCAAGAGCGAGGGAACTTTCTCCCTTTCAAAGGCAGCTCTGATTTTGGGAAGCCTCTCTCTTGCAAAGGGCCAGGGAAGCTACTCGGGGCTCCCTGACTCTTTTCTCTGCCTCCCCGCAGGTGGTTCCATGGTCACCTGTCTGGAAAGGAAGCGGAAAAGCTGCTGACGGAAAAAGGGAAGCACGGCAGCTTTTTAGTCCGCGAGAGCCAAAGCCATCCGGGGGACTTCGTGCTTTCCGTCCGGACCGGGGATGACAAAGGCGAGAGCAATGATGGGAAGTCCAAAGTCACGCATGTCATGATCCGTTGCCAGGTAACAGCGCAGGGATGGGGAGGTGAAATAAGGCCGGAAGCCTTTGTGGTGGGGGTTTCTCCATCAGTCCAGCAGGGGGAAAGGATAGGGCCAGTTCTCTTGATAGTTCGCCTTGGTTGGGAGACAGCTTGTGAAAGGCCAGGGCCTCTCGGTAAATCAGAACCTGGCTTATCATATCCTTTGTTGGATAAAAAGCCGTCCGGTTCGTCAGCCAGATTTTGCTTATGGAGGAGTGGTCTAACCTTGGAACTTTAGGACTTATGGGCTTCAGAATTCCCCAGCCAGCATGGGTGCCCTCTGGAGCAGAAGTGTGCAATCTTGGCAACTTTAAGACCTGTGGACTTCAACTCCCAGAATTCCCCAGTCAGCATGGGGAATTCCTCCAGCTGAGGAATTCTGGGAGTCGAAATCTACAGGTCTTAAAGTTGCCAAGGTTGCACACCCTTGGCTTAAGGAAACAGCAGCTGCAAGACCTGTCTGGTACCTCTGCAGCATGTGGAAAAAGGGAATGAATGAATGAATGAATGAATGAATGAATGAATGAATGAATGAATGAATGAATGACCCAGCTAAGTTGGAATTGTGTGTCCACTGTCTCAAAAGTGAAGGTGGCTTTTTTTGGCCAAGACTGCTTCTAATCACTGCCATGGTGATGTAACTCAGTTAACCAGTGGATTAAGAATAACTTAGAGAAATTTAGACTCTTTAGAAGTTAGGTAGATCTTAAGCAACCTTGAGGAAAGCCTCCAAAGTAGCTCAAATCCCTCCCCACCTTCCAGTGAAACCCACTAGCCCTCTGCCTCTCCCTCCCTCCCTCCTTAGGATATGAAGTATGACGTTGGAGGAGGGGAGAAGTTTGACTCCTTGACAGACCTGGTTGAGCATTACAAGAAGAACCCAATGGTGGAGACTCTGGGGACTGTCCTTCAGCTGAAGCAGGTGAGGAAGGCCAGCCATGGTTGACTGAGAACTCTTCATTGGCGGTCTCTGCCGATGGTCATAACGCCCGGGTGTTCCTGTTGTCCTTGCTTCTCCCTTTCCACCACTGGTGGAAATCAATCACCACCACCGCTGGTGGGAATCACTTGGGGTTCATTGCCGCCTGCCTTTTGCCGAGCATGGCAGCATCTCTCTTGTAATTAGCGGGGAATCCACTTCGCAAGCTGGATAATTCACAGCCTTCCTGGAAAGTTTGTGGCTTGATGCTGTGACATTCAGAGACTTTAGATCCCAGTCTAGCTTCCAGCTGACCCTGGGATGGCTTCTGTCCTTGCGGGCTGCTTGGCTCTTCCTTTCGATGTGTGGTGGAATCTGGAGCTGACATGCAGGAGGGAGAGGCTTTCCCAAGGAGCTCAGAGGCAAATCAGCCTTGAGTCCTTGATTTGGAGGATAAGGACCAGAAGGGATCCTCCCTAAATCTTCCCAGGCGTTATTTGATAGTCATGCAGAGTGTGCTTTAGTCTGGCAAGATTCCTGTTCACAGGCAAACAGCAATAAACTACTGTGAGCAATCCACAGTATCATTCTTGATTCCTTGTGCCTGACATGTGCATTATTTGACCACCCCCCTCTGTCTCTCCCTCCCACCCCACCCCCGCTAGCCTCTCAACACCACCCGCATCAACGCAGCTGAGATTGAGAGCCGGGTGCGAGAACTGAGCAAGTTGGCTGAAACTACCGACAAAGTGAAGCAAGGCTTTTGGGAAGAATTTGAGGTACTTTCGGGAGAGAATATATGTCCTGTCCTCACCCGGGACCTTCTTCTTGCTGGCCTTCGGTGGGATTGAGAAGTGTGACTGTCCCTTTGGCAGCTGGGGAGGGGCCGCAGGCATCTAGATGCTCTGGGGGTGGGGGTGGGGTTAACAGAATGTGAGCTCTTAAGGAAATCTTCGGAGCAGTTTGTAAAGCAAGATAAGGCTAAACAGATAAGGCCCTTTTGGGTTGCATGGAAAGAGCTGGGCGTAAGTCTTCAACTCCCAGCATTCCCCTGTTGAAAAACACCTAGTGGGTAGAGCTGGATGCATTCATATGAAAATGTCCGTATTAGAGATTGATTTGGCTTGTGAATTTGGCTGCTGGCAGTCTGGAACTCGGAGCCTTTAATTGCTCGGAGACCGAGTGAGCTGCTCTCAGGCAGAAAAGGGCCCCTTGAGAGGAGACTGGCAACCTTTTCTCTCTCTAGGACACAACGCCTGAATTCCCCCTGCTTTTCCTACAGAGGCCCAGAGCCCGTCTCTGTGTTATGCCAGGATGGGAACACTAGGGGGAGCCTCAGTTCCATTTGGTCATCTTGGGAAGCTCACCTGTTTTAACCTGGCGGGCCAGAAGCGATGGGCATTGTAATCCAGACTAGGAGAGGCTTCTGGGTGGAGGAGACGCCTTCTGGCTCTCTTCCCCTGCTTGAGGGGTGGGTGGGTCAGAAGGCGGTTCCCGGACCCTTCACTGTTTTGCTCTTCCTTGTTTTTCCAGACTCTCCAGCAGCAGGAATGTAAGCTCCTCTACAGCCGGAAAGAAGGGCAGCGCCAGGAGAATAAGAACAAGAACAGATACAAAAACATTTTGCCTTGTGAGCATGGATCTCTTTCCACTTCCTAACTCCGGGGGTGGGGATGGGGGGCGCTAGCAAGTAGACATTTGGGGTGGGCCCAACTCTTCTTCCCATTTTTAAAGGCGTAATATCATTTTTCTCGGCCTTTATGCAAACAGCAGAGGGATATCCTGCTTCTGTGACTGCATTGCTGGCATTTGAGCAGAAAAATCCCTGCAAACTTTAAGGCAACCGGGGAAAGGGGGCCCAGGGAGCCATCTGTAGCCTGCTCACTGGACGCCCCTTTCCTAAAAGCTGGGATTTTGCTGGAACCTTTGTTTCCTGCAATTGAATTCTCTCTCAGGAACGTGGAGGTCCTGGCATCTGTTGTGGGGCAGTCTGGGACCCACGGCAGAGGCCTGATGTGCTGGAGGCTACGGATATTTGCAGCCCGATGGAGCTGCAGGGAATCAGTGATTTTATATGCAGAAAATTGCAGGCTCCGTTTTAGCATCTCCAAGCATCTCCACGGCTGCCAAGGACTCTTGATTTCTGCCATCCTCCCGGCAACTGCCTGAATGGCTGCTGGCAGCTCAAGAGTTGGCTGTTGCTGCTTGACAACTATTCCCTGGATTAGGAGTCTGTCTTTGTCCTCGCTTTCTAGTTGACCACACCCGGGTTGTCCTTCACGACGGCGATCCAAATGAGCCAGTTTCGGATTATATCAATGCCAACATCATCATGGTAAGAGGGTCGCCCTCCCACTGGGGGAGTTGAATGGACCACCACTTTCTTCCCGGGGCAGAATGACCTCGCTTGGAGTTTCCCCAAACAGAGCAGGAGGGACATCCCCCCGGAGCTTTTCCTCCAAGGGGGGGGAGCGTGCCTTAAGTCTCCCAAGGGCCCCCCTCCCTCCGCGGATGAGACGCCTGCTGATGCTCCCGTTGTTCCACAGCCGGAATTTGAAACCAAGTGCAACAATGCCAAGGCCAAGAAGAGCTACATCGCCACCCAGGGCTGCCTGCAGAACACGGTGAACGACTTCTGGCGGATGGTCTTCCAGGAGAATTCCCGTGTGATCGTCATGACCACAAAGGAAGTGGAGAGGGGGAAGGTAAGGCCAGTGGAAGGGATCCACCACTCTCCCGGGATCAAGGAGAGAACAGCAGCTCAGGCAGGGAATTTGAATCCAATGCTTTATTTGGTCAAGTGTGATTAGACTCACAAGGGATTCCTCTCGGGTGCAGAAGCTCTCAGTGTACATGCAAAGCAACAACAGAATAATGTTAATAATTGCCCTCAGCCGCCCACCCCCAAATTTGCCACTTGAATTAAACATGAGCTTCCATAAGCCTTTGCTCTCCTTCCCTTGCTAGCTGAAGATCAAGTAAGGTACTAAGACCACTCTATAAAGCCTTAGTAAGGCCACACTTGGAATCCTGCATCCAGTTTTGGTCACCACACTATAAAAAAAGATGTGGAGACTCTAGAAAAAGTGCAGAGAAGAGCAACCAGGATGATGAGGGGACTGGAGGCTCAAACATACAATGAACGGTTAGAGGAACTGGGCATGGCTAGTCTAGTGAAGAGAAGGACCAGGGGAGACATGATAGCATCTTCCAATACTTGAGGGGCTGCCCCAGAGAGGAGGAAGGGGGTCAAGCTATTCTCCAAAGCACCCAAAGGCCAGACAAGGGAGAATGGATGGAAACTGACCAAGAAGAGATTCAACTTAGAAATAAGGAGGAACTTTCTGACAGTGAGAGCAATCAACCCGTGGAACAGAAGTTGCCTTCAGAAGTTGTGGGAGCTTCATCACTGGAGACTTTCAAGAAGAGACTGGACTGCCCTCTGTCAGAAATGGTGTAGGGTCTCCGGCTTGGGCGGGGGGTTGAACTAGATGACCTCCAAGGCCCCTTCCAACTCTGTTCATCTGTTAATCCCCCCCTGGCCCCCTCCCTGTTCTTCCAGAGCAAATGTGTGAAGTACTGGCCGGATGAGCAGGCCCTGAAGGAATACGGTGTGATGCGCGTCCGTAACGTCAAAGAGAGCACGGCTCACGACTACACACTACGAGAACTCAAGCTCTCCAAAGTTGGGCAGGTGCGTTTCCGGAAGATGCCGAGCGACCGTCAGCCAGGCATCTCGGCCACGTGGTGAAAGGGGCGGGGGCTGACATGGAGAAGGAGCTTGGATTGAGGGGCGTCCATGTGCTTTCTCCCACACCGCTGTTGTGTTTTTCGATGGGCCTCTGGAGCTTCCCCACTTCTGCTGATTTTGGAGGCGAAGGCAGCTCCTCCCGCCTCTGAGGGACTCATCAAAGCACCTCTGGGGGGGGGCTCTCTTCCAGGGCAACACCGAGCGGACAGTGTGGCAGTATCACTTCCGGGCTTGGCCTGACCACGGGGTGCCCAGCGATCCTGGCGGCGTCCTGGATTTTCTAGAGGAGGTGCACCACAAGCAGGAGAACATTGCAGAGGCTGGTCCGGTCGTCGTCCATTGCAGGTACCAGTAAAACCGTGTTTCTCAACCTTGGCAACCTTTAAGCACTGTGGACTTCAACTCCCAGAATTCCCCAGCCAGCTTTGCTGTTGGAGTTGAAGTCCACCCAGCTTCAGGCGGCCTTAGGTTGAGAAATACTGCAGGAAAAACGGAAAGGTTGCTCAGCCTGAGAAGGAGGAACAGGACTCGAACCCGTGTGACGGTCTCTCTCTCTCTCTCTCTCTCTCTCTCTCCTCCCACCCCACAGTGCCGGAATTGGTCGGACTGGGACGTTCATTGTGATCGACATTCTCATCGACGTCATCCGGGAGAAAGGTGAGTCCCAGCAGACCGACTGCTTCACCACCTCAAAGGTTGAGAGGAAGACCACGGCTGGTCGTTGTGTGTGGAGTACACGCATCTGTTACGGTGTTGGCTGATTCCACACACACACACACACACACACACACCCATAGGCCAGGTTTCCTGGGAGTTGTTGTCTCACAACCCGTGGAGGAGCGCAGGGCTGATGGGTGCGTGTGTGGGTACATATTGCCCTGAGCATAATTGGGGCTTTTGAGCACCGGGCATTAAGTGAGGCCAGCCATGGCGTTTTCTGGATCATGGTTTATGGGATGGACATGCCACAGGCACAATGGCTTGTTTGGAAACCACAATTCAAGCCAGTCCCTGTGGTTGCCCCAAAGGGACAATTTTTCCAAAAGGCATCTGGACTTCCTTGGTTTTCTTCTTTGAGAACGGAAGAAGCTTCTTGAGTGAGAAAAGCGAAAGGTTTTCAAGGAAAAATCCAAGAAACCCCAGCTGCCTTTGGGGGTGGGGGGTGAAAACGCCCCTATGGCCTGGATGAGTGAGAATCACCATAGACGAATCCGTGTGGTTTGGGAACTTGAGTAAGAGTCCTCCGAAGGGGCCCTTCCCCATTCTCTCCAGCTGAGCCCATCTCCCTCCCTCTCTTCTCCCCTCCAGGGGTGGACTGCGACATCGACGTCCCGAAGACCATCCAGATGGTGAGGTCCCAGCGGTCAGGGATGGTGCAGACCGAGGCCCAGTACCGGTTTATTTACATGGCCGTCCAGCACTACATCGAGACGTTGCAGCGCCGGATTGAGGAGGAGCAGGTACCAAAAAAGGAGAACCTTTGTAGCTCAGGGTTGAGCTGTGGGGTCCTTGGTGCTCTCTGAGCTGCATGGTTTTCTTGCAGGCGTTTTATGACCCTACTAGGTAGCAGCATCAGTGCTAGAAGGCAATGGGGTTTGCGGACAGGGGGAGGAGGAGAACTGTGGGGTCCTTGGTGTTCTCTGAGCTTGGTTGTTTTCTTGCAGACATTTCATGACCCAACTAGAGAACATCATCAGTGCTGGTCAAGTCTAGTTACTAGCACTGATGATTTGACCTCGTTTGGATAATGTAACATCTGCAAGAAAACCTCCCAGCTCAGAGACACCAAGGACCCCTCAGGAACAGGTTCCTCTGGCCTACCTAGCAGGGAAGGTGGTCTCTTTGGCTCTGGGGCTGAAAGCCGGGGCCGAGAGTCGGAGGGACTTCGGCCAAGAAGAGTTGGAGGAAGGCAGAAAACAGACATCCACACCCCACACCCCCCGGGTGTATTTGTTGCCTTCTCCTCTCTTAGTGGCCCATAGGAGAGACGGCAGCTTTGTCACCAAGTGGCTACCCTGCTAAAGTGTTTGACCGGGGATTGACCAAGATCTAACCTGGGATGAGCCAAATTCACCCATCAGAAGAAGCCATGAGACAGGGGGCTGTCTAGTCCTGGCAACCAAGTTTCCCCATCTTGGGAATCCTGAAGCAACCAAGCCTCCTTATGTTAGGTGGGGGGTGGAGAAGTGGTGGAATTAAGGGGAGGGGGCTCTTTGAGAAGAACCAAGAGCGCGTTGCTTGCTGGGAGGGACATGACGGTGATTCTTCCCCCCTCCCTTTCAGAAGAGCAAGCGGAAAGGACACGAGTACACCAACATCAAATACTCCTTAGCGGATCAGGCCAGCGGAGACCAAAGTCCTCTCCCGCCGTGTACTCCCAGCCCGGCCTGTCCCGAGTGAGTAGTGGCCTCGCCGCCCGTCCCCTCCCTCAATTGCTTGAACTCTCCCAGATCCAAAAGGACGGCAGGGAGAACCTTGGTATGACAGGGTTCGGGGTTCTGAATTTCTCCTTGAACCCCCCCACCCCACCCCGCTTTCCAGGATGAGGGAGGACAACGCCATGCGAGTTTATGAGAACGTCGGTCTGATGCACCAGCAGAAAAGCTTCAGATGAGACGACGGCGAGAGTTTCCGCGTGAGGAAGGCAAGTCTAGATAACGGGGTTCCTGCGGGACTGACCTTAAGCAGCCGGGGAGGGCAGATCAGCGTCAAAGGGCGAGTCTGGGGGGCAGTTTTCGCCGTCTCCAGGGAGAAAAATCCCAGGAAGAGGAAAATTGAATAAACCCAAGCTGCTAGTCCTCAGGAAAAGGGAATATTAGTCTGGTCTGAGATCCTTATCTGAGGGTGGGTCTTAATAAACCCAAGCTGCTAGTCCTCAGGAAAGGGAAATATTAATCTGGTCTGAGTTCTTTGTCTGAGGGAGATCATCTTAAATCTCCCAAATGGAGGTTTCCTGTCTAGTATTCTGTTCCAGAGATGATCTCAAGATTCTCTCTTAAAATTGGAGGGAGAGGAGATTTTATGAATTTTTCCACCATCCCTCTTGTGATTCTTCCCTTTGGGCTTCTGCCCAACACAGTCCTGTTTATTTACTTATTTTCATTTATTTATCACATTTAAGAAACCTCCCTGCTCCCTCCAGAGCAGAGGTACGATAAAAGAAGTCATTAAAACGTTGTTGAGACCCGAACTTGGAGGCAGGAATAAAAAGCCGGAGGGTTGGGAAAATGCAGCCGCCCAGGGATTGTGACTTGAGTTTCCACGGCGGCTGCTCTCTCGCTCTCCAGGCTCGGAAGGCAGGATATGTCCGTGTGGGGTGTCTCTCGTCTAAAAGGCCTTTCTCTTCCTGTCCTCTTTGCAGAATTGAAATGCCGCTCTCTCTCTCTCTGTCTCTCGTTTTTTTTAAAAAAACAAGGAAGCGAAACAAGCTGGGCTCCGTCCCTTGAAGACCTCTGCCTAGAGCCTTCTTCTTATTTATGACATTTTAACCCTTCAATAATAAGCGGAACTTAAGATCTCCTTTCAAAGAAACTCCTAATTCGTTTTCTTTAAAAAAAACAACTCTCGTTTTTACAACTGATTTTTGTTTTTTGTTGATGCCGTTTTCCCTCTGGAACATACGATTTTTATTTTTATTTTTATTTTTGCCTCCAATGCAGACCAATACTTTGTTGTACTTGAACGTTGTTGGGTTTTTTTTCCTTCCCCCCTTTCTTTCTGTCCTGGACTCAAGAGGCTTTTCTTTTATTTTTTTTTTGAACTGTTCCAAATTTGTTTTTGTTTTTTCAAAGCTATCTCTTTCCCTTAAAATATATATATATATATATATATATATATCAGAAAAATAAGTTGTGGGACAACTGATACTTTGGGGAAGAAACCAGTTATGTTAATCAGGAGGCATCCAGGGCCGTTTCCAAGCCAACTAACTCTCTGGAAGGCGGTCTGGCTGTCCACAGATTTGATCAAGTTTCTAGTCCTCGTGAAATTCCACGCTGGGGGTCTTTTTTTTTTTCCTTGTTCCTTGAAACGATAAATTCTAGAACTTCCAATGATGCGTTTTTGCACCAGATTAAACCGGTTTTTTTAGAGCCTGTTCCGTCGGCTGGCTCTTTGCTGTCGGGGCGAGGGGGGGCACTTGGGGGTGGGTGGGATTTCAGCCAGGAGGGATATCCTGACACCCTCCCTCCCCCTCGGATGCTTAGTGACTTCTCCAAAGGGTCATCACCTCTCCACGAATCCCTTGTGAGCATTCCTGGATTCACCCAGGCCTCCGTCATATCAAGAAGAAGAGGAAGATGAAGAAGGATGAAGAAGATGATAAGCTGATTTTTTTTGAAGGGGGGGGGAATGTCTGAATGGAGCTTCGGAACGACTCACCCTGTCTGCTTTTCCAATTTCCACCACATCGTCTTCAAAGGACAATCGGGGGTCCCCCATCCAGCTTTTGAAAGAGAGCCCTCTTTGGTGGGTCTTTTTTCGTCTGCTCCCCCCAAGCCAAATCCAGCTGGTGTAGCGATGCCCAGCATAGGGCTATTACGCACCTCAAGCCAGTCGCCTTCTTCATGGTGGACAGCAGGGTGGAGAAGGAGATTTGAGGTGGGAAAAGGAAGTCCAGGGGTCTCTCTTGGCTGGCTGGGTCGGTGGGTTGGGATGCTGCCCAGAGAGCAGGAACCAGCAATCTCGAGAGTTTCTGGGTGTTTGAGGAGGGGGTCCGCAGAGGATTGCTGTTTCTTTCCAGGGTCTCTGCGCCTGGACAGTCTGATAAGGAGGAACCTGGCTTCGTTGTGGTTTTAAGGCAAGGATCCCCAACCTTGGCCGCTTTAAGACTTCAACGCCCAGAATTCATGCTGGCTGGGGGATTCTGGGAGTTGAAGTCCACAAGCTTTAAAGAGGCCAAGGTTGGGGCCCCCTGCTTTAGGGGATGCTCGCTTGTTTTTGAAGTCAGCGCTGCTCAAATCGGCTTCTTGTCTGGGCTGCCTGGTCCTTGTGCTCACCACAATAGTCCCAACCTCCCTTCGGCACTTGGGGAAAAAGCCACAAAGGCCATTTGTGGGTCTCTTGCTTCTGCTCTAACTTCCCTGCAGAGCTGGGTTCCCCCCCCCTCTTTTTATCCAGCTTCTGTAATCTAATCGTGGGAGGATCGAGCCCCAATTATGGTGTGAGGGGGTACCTGTTGTTCTTTTGCCTCCTCTTTTCTTCTGGTTCTTTCCTAAGACGTTGCTCCTCCTCTTCTTCTGTGGCCTTTCCAAGCGGTCTCCTTTCCTTCCTTTTTAATTTATGAACACCCTTGTGACTTAAAAGAAAAGAAAGCAAGCAAACAAATGCAGAGGCCTCCGTGAGAGGAGACTTGTGTATTTTTCCCCTGGCTAGAAACAGCTCTTCCCCTCTTATCCTTCCTCCTCCTTTCCGAGCAGCGTATGAAGTATTCTACCCAGAGTATTACATGAAATGTAAACGTAAATGGAGATTTTTTTAAAAAAAATAGGCAACTCTTTCCTTGAAAAGGGCCTGCCTGTAAAGAACATTGTTGGTTTGTACACCAATCAAAGTGCAGGCTCCCACGTTCAGGGAAGTGGGGGGGGGGAAGGGGGTGTTTCCCAGCTGATGTGAGACCTGTTGGAATTGGGGTCATGGTTTAAGGGGCTGGTGGGGTCTCCCCGGCTGTGGCCCCTGTTGTAGCCCCCCGTCCGCTGCCTTTCGGCTGCCAATCCCCTAGGCTGTTCCGTGGCGGTTTGGCGCGTGGCATTCATCAGACGACCAACCGACTGATCATGTCCAGGAAAAAACAAACCTCCAGATGTCTGTTTGTGGACTCTTATTTATGGGTGTCGAGTGTAGCTGCGTTGCTGGCTGTGCTGAGAATTTTTTTTTAAAAAAAAATTGCGCCAAGGCTTCTCGGGAGTACAAAAAACAAAAAGCGCTGTTTGTAAAACACCAGAACTTAATAAATGAGTAAATAAATAAATACATTTTCTTACCCCCCGTTTCCTAAATGCTTTTCTCCAGCGGGGCTGGCTTAAATCGGACCCAGTGAATAAGACCAGTGCTCGAATTTTGCTGTGTGAAAACTTTGTCCTGGAGTCCTGATGATGCAGGGGGAGCTATCAGTTACGCAAGGCTGGGCCGCTTGAGAACTGGTGTTTCCCCCACTGCCGGCCTTCCGCTCAAACAGAATTCAGCCTCTTTGCACCAGGAACGGGAGGGGAAGCTGGAAAGCAGGGCCTTTCCCCAGAAGTGCACATCTGTCTGGAGAAGAACGTAACGAGAGACGATCCAGGAAGGCCATTTGCTGAACTTTTCAATCATGAGGACTAGAGTATTGCAAACGTCAAACTGTTTGATTAATCCGTCTTTGGGGCCAAGGCAGCTTAGTAGCATTTTGTTCTTAATTTTTTTTGGGGAAGAACGAGATGTAGGTTAGACGAGGTTCTCTTCTCAAAGCGCATTAGACCTGGATGTCCAGAAGGATCAACAATCTGATTTTGCAGAGAGAGAGAGAGAGAGACGCAAACGAGCGGATGTTTTCAAGGCAATGAAGGGGGGGGTTATCAGAGCCCCCCAACCTCAGGACCTGAGCCCCCAGATCTGGTTCGCCAGACTCCTGGCGTTCTTTCTGTCTTTACTACTCTAGTCCCTGAGCTGGTTTCCTTTGTATTTGAAGAGTTGCTCTAGTTGGGCAGACTTTGTGCCATTCCTTGCTTCCCCTCGGCCTGACTGACACATCCAAGCATCAGCGAGGACCAGTGGCAGCCCAGCCATCTCACCGTTGCCATGGCGATGTTCCTGTTTCTCTCTGCTCTGCCTCTCCCCCCCCCCCCCCTTACCCCCATTTCTCATCTGGGCTTCTTAACCTGGCACCCATTCCTCCCCCCCCCCCCATTTATCTAGAAGACAGACAGGGCATCGTAAGCCCCCCCTCGCCCCTCAGGGCCTCCCCTCCCTCCAGCTGGGCAGGGGAGGCAGAGCAGAATCCTGGGATGCCAGGCCAACGTGGGCTGATGCATCGTGGCAGCCTTCCACCCCTGCAGTCCTGCACCAGCGAATGCATCTGTCTTTCCAGCAAGCGAGGGAGTCGCCTTCGCTCCCTGCCTGCGTCCGCTCCCCTTGCCAAGAAATTCAAGAAATTGCAAATTTGCTGGGATGCAGATCAGCCTCCCCCATCCCCCCACCCCAAGCAGGAGGGAAACGGAGTTAAGCAAAAAAAAAAAGACTTACAATTAGCTAGCCATCATTCTGCTCTTCCCTCCACCTCTCGCTTGGCTCTCGCTTTGAAGGCTGGGGGGCGGGCAGCTTACTTAAACCTCCCCCCCAGCCCCGTCCTCTGCACCTTTCCCTCTCTTTGCCCCTTCTAGTCCATGCCCTGCAAACAGGGTACCAGCAAGGTAATCTCAGCTCCTGAAAGGCCTTTGAATCCCTTCCCTTTGGTGGCCTGGGTGCAGAAGGAAGGGGCGCTCCCATGGTTTACCACACCCACCCAGGAGTTGAGGGGAGTCCAGACACTTTCAACTCCCCCCGAGTTTGAAAGGCCTACGATGATCTCATTGCTTGGCTCCCAATTTTGGAAATCATTGAAGCTTCATTCTCCACTTCTGATCTGAGGGGAGCTGGTTTCTGAATTGCACTGCGTTATCGTGGCTCAGTGGCTAAGACACTGAGCTTGTTGATCAGAAAGGTCGGGAGTTCGGCGATTCAAATTCCTAGTACAGGTCTCATATATAAGGGGGTTGGACTAGATGACCTCCAAGGTCCCTTCCAACTCTGTTACTGTTATTATTATCTCAGCAGACACGCACACACACTCAGTTGGAGAAAGCTGCAGGAGAGATCTTGGATTTCCTCTTGTTAAGATGCCAACTGAAGCTCCTGAGTGATCCTTCCAGCCAGGATGATGGACGCTGAAGTCCCACAGGCATAAAGGGCATGGGAACATCGGTGGCAGGCTTTAAAGAAAACGATTCTTCATATGGACGTGTGACACTCGCTGCCTCCAGATGAGACTTCAAACAGAAGAATGAGGTGGTCAGGATACCCACAAGATGTGTCCACGATTGGTGGCAGCCCCGTTGGCATCCTGCTAATTTTCCCTAAGAGTTTTCCTAAGACCTCAGGAGGAAATTCTGCTCAGAAACCTGATCTTAAGCGAGTTGGCTTGCCCGGAGCAGAACCTTAAAATTCTTCTAGCAGAGTTCAGTTGTTTCTGGGGTGCTGCACTCCATCTGTCTGTCGTTGCTCTGTTTTCCCTTTTTGTTGCATGAAAGCTGCTTTTCAAGGAAGGCGAGGGAGAGGAGCTGGCTTTGGGCTTTGGCAACGCGTGTTGTGAACAACAAAGCTGTTTAATTGGCTCTGCTAATTGCCTTCTTCCCGTCTGCCCGGGAATTAACATATAAGCAAATCAGGCTGGGTATTATCAGAGGCGCCTGTGTTTCACCCAAAGAGAGGGAGGGGGGATGGAGGGAGAGAAGGGCCCTTAAGTTTCCCCTCCCCCCAAACTATCGTTTTCCTTGTGCAAAGTCTCCACCATCCGAAGCTTCTCCCCTTTGGAGCAAGCTATCCAAATGCAAGCTGCCACAGGACAGAGTGTCCTCTCCTCCTGTAACCTGCAACTCTTAATAATGTGGGGGGTGGGGGGAGGGGGAGAGAGAAGAGGTCCTTAGAAAATGGTTCAAGCCCACGTCCAAATCTCTTTGGCACTAAATCTCAGGGCCCTGGGCACATGGCCCAGAGCTGTCAGAAGCCGGAGGGCCCAGCCCTTCTGTCCGCGGCACAGAGAGCTACCTGAGGGCTACCTCTGGCCCTCCGTTCATCTAGCCTTGAATCGGCCTGCTTGAGTAGCAGTGAGTCTCTGGAATTGGGGCAAGGAGTTTTGAAGCCACCCCGGCGTGGCCAGGGATTGAAACTCCCACCTGTGGGAGTCCTTGCATGGCACCAAACCTCACCCAGTTCAATGGTGAGTGGTGGTTTTTTTAGCCTCCAGCCGGGTCCATTTTGGCCTCATCAGTGGCAAAATTTGGGGGCTTCTGACAGCCGTGCATTGGAACATCTGCTTGCTGGGGGTGGGGGTGGAGGTGTGTGGAAATGCCATTGTTAGCATCCCCTCGGCTGTCTCATCGCAGCCTTTTCATTAGAGGAGGAGTGGCACGCTTTCCAATTAATTGCAGCCCTTCGGCCACCGGCTCTCTGCAGTGAGCTGCAGTTGCTTTGCAAGGCACATCCGAAAAGGGGGGAGGGTGGCAGTCCACAGGGAAGGTTCTCGCCCCCACCCACCCCGGCCAATGAAGCCAGCCATTCCTCAGGTGCTGGATGGGACCTTTTCAGAGGGCAGGCCAAAGAAGGAGCTTCCTGTTCCTTTTTTGCTGGGTCATCTTCAGTCTTGGTGAGCCGCCAGAATGTGCGCGTCGGGAATCAAGTCGATCTCTGAACAAGTGTTGAAAGAAACGAAGCAATCGCCACCGTTTCCGAGAGACCCAAGGTGAAGAAAAGGCAGCGCAGTCCATCTTTCTCCTTCGATCCTGAAGGTAAAACGGTCCCCAAATGTCTGTATTGAGAGGAAGGCGCCTTAGGAACAAGCCGCAGCCTCTCTCCCCTCTTCTGAAGGTTAATTCGGGAAGGTAACTCAATAGCGTTAGCAACAGATGCTCACAGATGCTCCGGCGAGGCTGTACACGGACGCAAAATCAACAGGAATCATCTACAAGTCCAGCCTTTGCTTCCTAACCTGATAAAAATGCGCGGCTCGGGCTTTATTTATTAACACGGGTCGGCTATAAATATACTTGTTGCCAGTGTTTTTACCTTCTGCATCGTAGCACTTTATCTTCCGTCACATCTATTGGTTCCGTTTCTGAACAAATGAAGCCCCCACCCACCCACCCTAATTCCCTGCAGGCAGAGTCCAGCCCCCTGCCTCTTTCCCCTTTGTAGGTACAACACAGTGACATACCAAATTTTCCTTGCAGGGCTAATTAGCCTTTGGTTAATTAAAAGCACACATTTTTTCCAGTAACATTCTTTCTCTCTCCCTCTCTCTCTCTCTCTCTCTTTCTCTCCTCTCTCTCACCCCCTTCTTTTCTCTCCCTCTTTTTCTTCTCTTGCTCTCCTTTCTCTCCCCCCTCCCTCCGTCTCTCTTCCTTCTCTCTCCCTCCCTCTCTCTGTCCTCTCTCTCTCCCTTCTTTTCTCTCTCCTTCTTTTCTCTCTCCTTTCTCTCTCCTCCTCCCTCTCTCTCTCTTTCTCCTTCTCCCTCCCTCCCTCTCCCCCTTATTTTCTCTGTCCCTCTTTCTCCTTTCTCCCTCTCCCTCTCCCTTCTTTTCTCCCTCCCTCTCTCTTTCTGTCCTCTTTCTCTCCTCTCTCTCTCTCTCTCCCCACTTCTTTTCTCTCCCCCCTCTCTCCTTCTCCCTCCCTCCCTCTCTCTCTCTCTCTTTCTTGGAACAAGAAAACATATCCCTTTTAAAAACAGAGGATAGGATGTTGCAGGAAGGTGTCCCTCTCCAAAGCTTTTCCTCCCAGCCATCAGTGTGAACAAAACCCCCTTCCCTCCTCCCCCTCCTCCCCCCAGGAAGCTAAACCGATCTTTGCATGCATGAAGGCAGAATGGGGACACGGATGAATTCCAGGCTCTGGTTTCGCAGTCATGCGTACCTGCTGAAGGCTGGCTGCAGTGAAGTTGCGGGCAGAGGGAGAGGCTCACCCCAGCTTTCTTCTCCTCCTCCTCCTCCTTCTTCTTCCCATCTGGGGTGACTAGAAACCTGCAGTCTTGGAATTCTGCCTGGAAGGGAGCCTCGATAGATAAATATTATTATCATGGAACCTTGATTGAACAGGCCTGCAGGAGGATTATCGCTCCCAAATATCCATCACATTATATCTTAACAGACCTTGTGGTGAACTGTGTCAGCTGTAGATGTGAAATTACCATGGATTTGGTTTCCTTGTCGGGGAAATGTTGAATGCCCTGGAACGGGCTGCGATTTTGGGGGAAGG